AAACAGTAGTTTGCAGTTGACTTTTTTACATTTTTGACCTTAAACGAAGCTATGACATCTGCCTTGCAATAGGCCATTTACGAGTTACCTTGTGCCTCGTAGTTACGAGTTAGCTTGTGTACTAGTGCAAGACCTTTCATTTGAAAATAAATGAGTTTAATTTACATGAAAATGAACCTGTAGGTGGAACACATTTATTTTCATATGAATGACTTCACACGAAGACTCTTCTTGACACAGAGGCAACTCAGAAATAAACCATAGCATTCAATTGTATTGTCATAAGTATTATCATGACATCATAGGATCATCGTTTAAAAACAACGAGATTTACGAAGAAAAAATACATAGTTTCTCGTACATGTACATGGTGGCTGCGCTGTAGCAGTCACAGCAATTATCTATGTCATCGTCAGATTTGTTTTTTTCTCTATGATCCTAATTCCAGCAGGACTGAAATAAATGAATTGGCGACCAACGCATGGCACTGGAGTGTCAGAAATTGAATAGATTTTGTTTATAAGTTGTTCTGCCGTGTCCTGGTGAGGATAACACCACGCTTATTTCTGAGGCTTAAAAGTTGTTCGACGTTTCAGTTTCTAAAAAGATGCTATAAATTTTTCAAAAAGTTGACTAAAAAACTTCAAACTCGTCTTTCCATACTGCGACAAAATATCGTTACATCTTTCCGGCAAGTTTTTGCTGTGGCAAGATTCCAAAATCTTCCTAAAATCGCGGAAATATGTAAATTTGCCTAAAAAATTACAAAGAAACTTGTTGACAATTTTACTTGCGAAAAGATCCGAGCAAGAGAGCCTGTGTTCGCAGGAAGCGCCTTTACCAATTTGCTTGCGTTTCTGGCGCCGAACTGATCCACCATTTGGTTAGTGACATGCAAAGATCCAAACAAGCTGTTCACGGACCACTTCATGGCTTTTGATTCCAAGCAAAAAAATTTTGTAGTTTTATTAAATTGCTTCCTGTCTTAGAGGTCAAGCAAATTTTTTGTCGATGAAAAAGGTGGAAACCTGAACTAAAAGTACAGAAACTCTATAGAAAGGGATTCTTAAAGCAATAACAGCGAAACATTTTGAATTGATATTTCTTATTCCGTCTGTTCACACGCCGGGTGGCCCGAAATGAGATCTTTGGCAATCTATGTATTTTACAATATGAAGTCTTCAGTAATTATTAATATTTTTGTAAACCAGCTGGCTTGAGAAAAGAATGGATCTTGACTAGCAAATAAACGAAGTGCAAGCCTTGTCTCATGCTCTGATATAAAGCTTTTTATCCAATCAGGACGGGCGGAGAATCCAATCTAAGTTTCAATCGGAAGATGAAAGATGGAAAGCTTTTAAAGTCAGTAAAGTTGCATTTCATCTGTTGTAAGCCCGCTGGTGTTCAGTCGAAGTACTTGATTGTTTTATTTCCAATACGAATGAAAGAAAGAAAATAAATCATGTTGACTTTTAATATATATCCTGGACTGACAGCTTGAAATAACAGAAATGGAAATTCCTTTTTCCGTTTTAATCAGTTGCGACGAAGCAAATCTTCATATAAGGGTGTGTTTTTCAAGCGCTCGCACTAATAGTGTGGTTTATGTACCGCACTACATCATGGTGTTGTGGAACAATGCAACGGTTTCACTAATTCCCAACAAATCTGCGCAGGACGAAATGAACTCCACGTGTTCCTTTGTTGATTCGTCTGTAGAGAGATTTTCCAAACTTTGCGCGTTTTGCTTTGTTTTATTGGGCAGTTTATTTGGAAACATCTTCATAATCATCATCGTCTACAAGAATCGACATTTACGAAAAACAATCAACTATTTCATCGTGAACATGGCCTTTTCAGATTTAGTTTTAACTCTGATTGTACTCCCAGTTGAAATAACTAAGTTGGTGACCGACTCAGGACATTGGCATGTCAGTGGAATCTTAGGATTGATTTGTTGCAAGTTGTTCTTTTTCGCAAGCTTAGTGTCTCTTCTCGTTTCATCTCAAAGCTTGGTGTGGATAGCAATTGACAGATTTGTCGCGGTAGTTTTTCCAATGAAACTTGGACTTATTTCAAGCAAGATTCGAACGATAGCCATCGTTTCTACCTGGATTTGTGCAGGCTTTTTCAGTTATCCAGTGCTTATATCTTCGAAACTTGTTGTACGTGGCAATGACACATTTTGTACTGAGACAAACTTGGAATCATTTTTCCATAACCAAAAGACCCAAAAGGCTAATGAGACATACATGTTTGTTTGGGTTCAGTTTACTCTTTTGATTATTGCTCCCTTACTTGTCATAACCATTTTGTACACCGCGATAGCAGTTAACTTGAGAATACAGAAGAAAGCCCTCGCAGGCACCCCTCCAAATATACAACGACATGCTATGAAGAAACGGAGACAAGCTATCAAAATGGCGGTTGTTATCTTGATTCTGTTTTATCTTTGTGTAACTCCACACACTTTGCTGTATTTCATTCATTACTGGAGACCTTCTTGTGCCACTCGGAGAGTACTATATTTTGTGACCAGTTTCTCGTTTTTCTTATCTTCCATTGTCAATCCAATAATTTGTCTGTCATTTGTCGAAAGTTATCGTCGCGGATTGAAACACATTTTATGTCCCTGCGTTTGAAAGAGTGAACAATATGATGGCAAAACGCGACAAATAAGTCAAAGGAGATGAAAACTCCTCTGGAAGGAAACTGCCGACAGTCTCTCAAGAATGCAAAAAAAACTATAACGTAACGTTTTGTAGAGATATAGTTTAATACGAGGTGCTCTGTTCCGAATAATGCGATGTAAATGCAAGAGCACCAGAGCTGAACGTAATCGCCTGCTAGGTTATATCAACAATAACGTAGCCATGCTATAAGACTTTATAATTATAAAACAAGACCTGTTTTGTTCAAATTAGGGAGCGGGGATGGCAGAATGGTGAGAGCGCTCGCCTGGCCTCCCACCAATGTGGCCCGGGTTCGATGTCGGTCCGGTGCTATATGTGATTGAGTTTGTTGTTGGTTCTCGCCTTGCTCCGAGGGATTTTCTCCGAGTTCTTCGGTTTTCCTCCCTCTACAAAACCAACACTCCAAATTCTAATTCGACCAGGCTAGGGGACCCGCATGAAAACCAGCTAAGGCTGATGTGGCTTCCTCTCTAAATATTGTAATTTATTGATTAATTCACAACTAAATTTGCTGAAATCAGTTTATATAAAGACTGGAATTTCTGACAGTGTTAAACTACGAGTTCTGGTTGAATAGAAAGCGTCCAAGTAGTTGATTTGTTCGTTACTCTTGCATGTAGGGTATAAAACAATATGGTTTATTATTCAAAATAATGTCGAATTTGTCTTGACGTTGTTTTAACAACGAAAGCTTGACTGGGTTGGTTTATTAAGAGCTTTAAATAAATTAAACGTGCACTACAAATGATCTTTTTCGACAGTTGCTCTTAGCTGTTAATCTAGGCCTTCCTTTAGTTTGTGATATTGCAGAGCATAATGTAAATGTTAATCAGTTTAGTTTTTCTTGTAAATCTAAGGCGTTATGATATCATACTGTTCAAGTGAAATTAAAACAATAGTTTGCAGTTGACTTTTTTACATTTTTGACCTTAAACGAAGCTATGACATCTGCCTTGCAATAGGCCATTTACGAGTTACCTTGTGCCTCGTAGTTACGAGTTAGCTTGTGTACTAGTGCAAGACCTTTCATTTGAAAATAAATGAGTTTAATTTACATGAAAATGAACCTGTAGGTGGAGCACATTTATTTTCATATGAATGACTTCACACGAAGACTCTTCTTGACACAGAGACAACTCAGAAATAAACCATAGCATTCAATTGTATTGTCATAAGTATTATCATGATATTATAGGATCATCGTTTAAAAACAACGAGATTTACGAAGAAAAAATTTATAGTTTCTCGTACACGTACATGG